AATTATCGATATTGCAGTTTGATCAAAATCTCCGAATTGACTAAATGGAATAAAAAATCTTTTTACAGGATTAAAGTAAACGCAAAATCCTGATGTGATTCAGTGGAAGTTATACTAAAATCGAAAAAAAGTAAAAAAATTTGTTTAACTTTTTTTTATTATAGTATAAAATCCACTGCATCACGTCAGGATTTTGCGTTTATTTTAATCCTATAAAAGGATTTTTTATTCCATTTAGGTCCGTTTCCACCAACGCAGATCATCTTTAATCTCGATTCAACTTACTCTTTGTCTTTTTCTAGTTCTAAAGATTAGAAAAAGACGAAGAGTAAGTTGAACAATTTAACTTTTTTTTTATTATAGTATAAAATCCACTGCACCACGTCAGGATTTTGCGTTTATTTTAATCCTGTAAAAGGATTTTTTATTCCATTTAACCAATTCGAAGATTTTGATCAATTCGGAGATTTTGATCAAACTGCAATATCGATAATTGGGTCCCTCCAGCATCCCCTTAAGCCATAAGAAATGGGCGAATCACAGTCGCTTATTCTTCTCGGATTCGACTGTAATTGGTCAATTTCTTACGAATTAAGGCTTAAAACACCTATTGTAGGTCCGAGGTAACCCCCGAATCAATAATCATAGTTTAAAGACAGTTTCATAGCATGTCGGCCTTGTTTAATACTCTCCTTAGTACCTTTGTCATACTGACTTAAGCCGGTTGCGCCTCTCTGGCCTAGTTTCCACCGAGGATTTAAACTGGATCAAAATGTATGAACCAACCAACTAAATCCAGTATTCCCCTGTTACAGTCGAACGACAGGGGAATGCTCGACTGTAGTTGGTTCTTACATTCTGACCCGGTTTTAACCCTCGGTGGAAACTAGGCCTCTGATAAACGACTCTAAGGCCGATATTCATAGTCGGATCTTATATTTAAGACCGTCCTAAGTACAGTCTTAAGATGTCGTGAACCAATCAGAAGGCCGCATTAGTGACTTAAGACATTACTTAAGACGGTTTTAAAATAAGAACCGACTATGAATACCGTCCTAAGGGCCATTTTTACCATCGTCGGTTTACTTAACCATCCTAGTAACTGTAATGAAATAGAAAGAGATAAAACTATTTCTATCTCTTTCTATTTCATTACAGTTACTAGGCTGGTTAAGTTATAGCGTTTTCGGCCCGGCCAGGTTTACACCAACCTGGGTTGGATTAATGGCATTTTGTGCTCTCCTATTGGTAGAGCGGGTGACGTCAATCAATAGGAAAGATTAATCCAACCAAAGGGGTGGCACCCAGTTGGACACGGCTCAATTGGACTCGAGCTACTCACAGCGCTTGAGACTACAAAGCTCCTAAGCACCGGTCGCTGTGATTGGTGGTGTCCAATCGAGCCGTGGTCAATCGGGATCACCCCATTTCATTTGTGCGTTTTTGTCGTACGATAAATTTTTCAAGCCTGTTGATTGGCTATGGGATAGAGAGATCCTTTCCAAGAACCTTTCTGTTCTGTACATATTTGTCGTACGACAAAACGCACAAATGAAATAGCACCCTTATGTTGGATTCTGCATCCGATTTGCGTCATACGACAGTCTGCAACCAATCAGAAAACAGGATTCCGATGATACGAAGCAAAATCCATCGGAATCCTGTTTTCTAATTGGTTTCAGAGCGTCGTACGACGCAAATCGGATACAGTGTGAATCTAGCAATAGTACTAACATACAGTAGCGACAGTAGCTATCGGCTTCTTTGATGTCGGTGGCCACCAATCACATGACTGTCAGCCATGTTGAGGATTTACGGACTACTGAATTTGAACAGCATCAAGAGACATGGTGTCACAATCCATTTGTATGACATCTGGAAAGTATTTTACATAATCTTTAACATACCTTTCAATATACTTAGGAAAATGAAAAAAACTTATATTTTGTTTCCAGCCCCTATATTTTTGGATGTAGTAAAAGTATAAGAGATTCCTATTTATTCATTTTAATATGTGTGATTATACACAATATTTACTACACAAAGAGTACACTTTTCAAAGGTGGAGATGAATAATCGATATTTGGTTCATATGATCGTGCTACATGAACCAAATATCGATTTATCATCTCCACTTTTGAAAAATGGACGATGTACTCTGTTTTCGGCTCGACCGAGTTCGCACCAACTTGGGTTGAAGTAATGATGTTTCGTGCTCTCCTATTGGTAGAGCGTGTAACGTCAACCAATAGTGAAGCATTTTCCGACCCAAGTTCGTGCAAACCCGGTCGGGCCGAAAACGCTATAAGAAAAGTGGACGTTGCTATGTAGTTTACATCCACTTTAGTCAGAAAGCAATAGTGCGCGGCAGCATTTTGCGGTTACAGGGGTTTTGGGCCGTCATGTCCTCTCTCAGGTTTCTCTCTGGTACATGCTTCCGAGATATTAGGGGCTCCACACAATAAAAGGAACAAAGAACTGAGAGTAAGAATTTTAACCTATCAGAAATCATGTATTGTGGAATACATAGTTTCTGATAGGTTGAATTCTCTGTTGAACTCTGTTCCCTGTTCCTTTTATTGTACGGAGCCCCTTAGGGAGTATTATTATTTAAGGTTAGGTACTCAACTTCAATTACAAACACGATCAAATTAGTTATCACGTGTATATGTATATTGTTTAAAAGCACGGTTGCGAATACTACTAAATAAATATCCGAATATATTGGATATAAATATAATACCGTATGGTTGTATTGATCATTTTATGATAATGAAAAAATGGGAAGTTTAATAGGCATACGTTTCTGTGCTAATCATCAGTTAAAAAATTATACAGTAATTTCAGCACTAAAACTAAGACAAAAATATATGCATCATTGTTCATCAAATAAAGTAATATATTATCTTCAGAACCAACAAAGATCTCTGCGAATCGTTCAGTGTTGTGATGTTTCAAATTTTTCTCTTTGCAATTTCATCAAAACGAATAATACAAGAGATTTTTCTATTACCTCTGATCTATTGGCAAAAAGTAAAAATCGTGGCGAAAAGAAACAGAAGACACAACACATTGATTATAATGAGTTTGAACAAGTTGTTGATGTTAATAAATTAATATCTCAACTCGATAATGCAATTGAAAGATTAAAAGATGATTTTATTCAACATTTGTCAGTAAGATCAAGTGTAGGTGCCATTGAAATGTTGTCTGTCAAGTTTGATGGCAAAGATTTCACATTGCAAGAGCTTGCACAGATTAGTCGTAAGCCTAAATTGATAGTACTGAATGTATCTACTTTTCCACAAGCTATTCCAGATATTCTAAAAAGCCTTACAAAAAATCAGATGAAGTTAAATCCACAACAAGATGGAACTACAATTTATGTTCCTATTCCTAAGTAAGTTTTTTAGAAAATAATATTCTCTACATATATATTATTAATACTGTTATCTTAATGAGAAAAAAAAAGTTCATTGTTTTAATTCAGATTAGTACAAAAATATATATATGTATATTTCTCTATTACAGAGTAACAAAGGAACACAGAGAAATGTTATCTAAAAATGCAAAAAGCTTTTATGTGAAATGTTGTGACAACGTTAGACAGGTACGCAATAAGCAAATTAAGACAGTAAAGCAAAAGGAAAATCTAGCTAAAGATCTAGTGTTCAGAATAGAAAGTTATATAGATATTCTTAGTCATCAATATACGAATAAAGCTGAACAAATGTTGGAAACTAAACAAAAAGAGTTATTAGGTGATTCTGAATAAATTTGATTTTAATAATTTGCAATTTTGAATTTGAATTAATATGTTGCTTTTTACTGTATACAAATGTATATAATTTAATTATGTAATAAAAAAAATATATACTCACTTTTATAATATATTTTATTATCCAGTACTTTTATACATTATATACAGAGTATCCCGTAAGTTTTGGCCAATTACTTTTGTGTAGATAGAGTGGACTAAACTGAGTCGAAAAGTCCTCTATTATTTTGTAATTTTCGCAATAGTTAACAAGATATTAATTATTAAAAATTGCCAAATATTGGTCTTGAATAATTTTGTACTCCAATGCTATTAACTTTACAGAAAAACTGCAAGATACAAAAATCATTTATTTTCTTCTCATAGAACTTTAAAAATTTTTCCAGAATTTTTTATCAACTTTTTAGTACTGCATTTTCTTATTTTTACCAACATGAGAAAATACGATTTTAAAAAATTCTGAAAAAAATCTGAAAAAATTCTCAGAACTTTATGAGAAGAAAATTAATGATTTTTGTCTTTGGCAGTTTTTCTGTAAAGTTGATATTTGAGTAAAAAGTTATTCAAAACCAATATTTGGTAATTTTTAATAATTAATATTTTGTTAATTATTACGAAAATTGCAAAATGGTACAGGACTTTTCGACTGAGTTTAGTCCGCTCTATCTACATAAAAGCGATTGGCCAAAACTTACGAGACACCCTGTATATAAATATTGGGTATATACATATGTACGATATATATACATATATAGATGTATATATGTATATACAATGTTATACATATGCATGTATAATATGTATCATATTTTTGTGGTATGCGATATTTAGGATTACAGTTGCTTAAAGAATCTGAATTAATAATAAAAATAGACAATAAAAAAAAAATTTCAAAGAATTCTAGTCGAAAATACAATTTATTGAAATATTCATTTATTTTATACAAAAATGTTCTCTTAGACACTACTTTGTACATGCGTATGTATCAAGATTCTTTCAGAATTTTACTATAAAAATAGCAATTTGTATCGTGAAATTTGGTTTACATTTGAGAATAATTGTACGTCCTAATTATAGAAATTTATATCCTAAACACTTAGATTACTTGAAGAAAAGTGTTTTCGTAACAATTATCCAAATAATATAAATTTTTTAATCAAAACTTTAGTGTGTCATATTTTTTAATTCATAGTTTTTAAAATACCTTTACTTAAGTTTGTAAATAAGTTATTATAATTATAAACTTACAACTTTTATGATTAATTAATATATTACATCATGTCACATACACAGTTATAATTTATAAAAATAGACTATAATTACAATAGCAATTCTATATATGAAATATTTAAAAAATACATTTTTTATAGAAATTTTATAAAATACATTTTATATTTTATATACTCGTATATCTATACGTATAAATTTTTATCTTATAATATTTCCTTTTTTATTTTGTTTATAAAATCTAAGTCGATAACAATGATGTAAAATTACTGTATTTGACATAATTTTTATGAACTTTTTTCTAAATTTTAATTTGATTAAAAATAATTTGATTATGTTTTTGAGTCATTCTTATTTGTAATATCTATTGTAATATCTATTGTAATATCTTTTGTACATTTAACTTGATGTTTAATAACATGGTTGCCACAGAAAACCGGAAAAGTCAGGGGGAAATGTCTGGAATTTTGAAATTTGCTCACAATTTCCTTAAACTGCTCGAATTCCAGATAATTGTTATAATTTTGTAATATTATATCTAAATATATTTATAGTGAAATACGTTCAAAACTCGCACACTTTAAACGATTTTAATAAAATAATTAAAATTTAGATTTAATTCAGTATTTTTTTATTTGGTTTCTTTTTCGTAACTGCATTCTTTTTTCTAATACTAATTTATTTTTTGTTGCCTTGAATTTGCATCTATTCGCACACTTTAAACGATTTTAATAAAATAATTAAAATTTAGATTTAATTCAGTATTTTTATTTGATCTCTTTTTTTCGTAACTGCATTCTTTTTTCTAATACTAATTTATTTTTTGTTGCCTTGAATTTGCATCTAAAATTTTAGTATGCTACTAACCTTTTCTGCGTTGCTTTTAATAACATAGGCTAACTTTCTTACAATTCTTAACTTTAAATGTGTTAAAATTTACATATTTTATATTAAAAAATTTTTCATTTTTATCTGGAAAACCTGGGAAAATTAGGGAATTTAAAAATTTATTTTCTGTGGCCATTATCAATAAAAAGATACATTAAAAGTGCTTTGCATAAAGTTTGTGTCGCAGTCTCCAAAACTTCTTTCGTGTGAAAACTTATACTTACACGTAAAAAATTCTTTGCTTTACCTGTATATGAAAAACGAGCACCTGGTATCGCTGATACTTTTTTTTTCTTTTGACACCATTTGATGAATTTGGTAGCATCTATATCTTTAAAAACAGCACATAATTTTATTTAAAAAATGAAATAAATTAGTAAAAGTATACATACGTATAACTAAAAGGGTACAATACAAAAATTATAGTTGTATAATTATTTTAGAATTTGATATTCTGGCATAATTACTCAATTACTGTTTTATAATTACTTCAATATGGTTACTTTATGACTATTATATTTTAAATATTATATAAGAAAAAATATTCGTTATACCCGAGGGAAGATGTATCCAAACGAAATAACCTCCTTCTGGTCGCCGATAAGAACAACAGTTTGGCAGAAATTGATTCAAAGTTGCACAAAGTGTATCTAATCGTTCCTATAAATTAACTCTTATTTATTTTATTTTTATCTAGCTTTTATAGTAAATAATAGCATAAAAGAATTTTATATTAAAAGAAATAATTGTAAAATTATGAGAGCATACACAATCTATTTTTATGATTGTGTTAATGAATTTTGTATAATTATCATTACTTTAAGAAAGCGATATTATACTTTTGGAGCATAAAGATATTTATAGTATGAGCATGATGTAACACACCTTATAGATTCTTATAATCCTGTCAAGATACTCGTCTTCGAGATTTTCATGAAGCATACTCGCAATTATTCCGGAAACGTAATGGTTAACTCCACCACCGCTGCACATTATGCCTCTAAAATAGTTAAAATCATACAATAAAATAGTTGTAATAATATTAGTTACAATATTTTAGCTAATCAATATAATTTACATTAATGCATAAATAATACATCTACATAAAGCATTAATAATATTTAATGATTAATAGAGACTTTTATGTAAATTATTAATAAAAACGAATTTGACTCAATAAATGGTTTGTTCGTATAGTACAACTTTTTTGAAAAAAAAAAGTATAAGGTTCCTTACGATGTTTTTACAATATTCACTATACGCGCACTGCATTCGAGCCAGCCAAAGCGAATTGCTGGCGAAAGAATTTTAGAGAACGAACAATTTGATACAATGTTCCCTCCTTTATAATTTGAATCTTGTGGATCATCGTAAGAAAATAAGCGTCGTGGCGGAAATCCTTGCTCATAATAAAGCAAATTGTATACATCATCGCAGGCTACCACTATAGAATTATTTCGTGCAATCTCCACTAAACGTTTGCACTGATCTACGAAGAAAAATAATCTACGTTGTTCACGTATCAAAAACAATAGACTTATATATTTCAGATTTTTCAATTTTTGTTTTTTAAAAGAACAAAATTTCATTTATTGATTAAAAAAATATATAATGGAACCACAATATTTAGATTACCAGGCAACAATGTCATTCCGGTTGGATTATGAAAAATTGGTATTGTATAGAACATTGCCCAAAATATTTTTTGATCGTTTAGAAAAAAGTTGCCTTTTGTCTTCTCTTCAATTATTATTTTTTCCAATGCATCTAGATCTACTATGTCATCTTTCATTGGCACTATATGAAATAAAAATAATAATAAAGGATTTTTTAATATTTATATGACATTCTAGGAATTATATGAAATAAAAAAATAATAAAGGATTTTTTAATATTTATATAACATTCTAGGAATGTTGAATTTTGTAGGAACATTTTATTTTTTATATATTTAAGTAACAGATTTAAATATTTTTGTTTTACAAATATAGTATCACGTACCTGTAACTATTCGCATTAAGGGAAATTGTTTAAAAGCATCTAGAGCAATCATGTAAGTAACTTCCTCTACAAAAATAATACCATTTGGTGAGAGTATAGTATTCAATAATAGTTGAAGACCATGTGACGCTCCGCACGTTAATATTAAGTGCTCTCTCATTACGGAATTGCCATATCGCCTGCTTAAAAATTTAGCTAATTCATCGCGACATTCCCAAAGACCTGCCGTAATACCATATTGAAAGAGGTAATATTTTCCTTCCTTTTTTTCTTCCTCCTACGGCGACATTTATTTCCATTAATATGCATATTTATAAAATATCAATAAATATATATATATATATATATATATGTTTTTTATTTAGGGTTTAGAATAACTCATAAAATGTTCAATAAATGCAAGCAACGATATTATATAATTATTAAATTAATTATAAGTATTACTATTACAGCTTAACATAAAATTGGTATATTTTAAATCTATTCGATTGCAAACGTTGTTTTATTAGAAAAAATTTATATTCAAATATAATTTTCTGTAAGAATTTTTATTGTATAATTTCTCGTCGCAACTTGTCATAATCCAAGATAGTAATGGTGAGTTAACAGGAGCCTTAAATATATTGTCTGACAAATGCAAATTTAACAAATACAATATTAAAGTAATTGATTCTTACCAATCTATGTTGCGTCGATTTATTCAGTATTTCTGCACAATGTTTTAATAGGTCAGGACCGGGTGCTCCGACCGACAAGTTTGTAGCCTCCTCATTGTAGACATTAAATATCGGGTCACCATCGAACAAGTGTCTCAAATATGGATCATGAACAGTATCCATGTCATCTGCTTTGATATCTGTCTTATTTTTTGTTATTATACATGTACTTAAAAAATGCTATACTATACACGATCACTGGGTAAACATTCTTACGTAAACGTTTGTTGAATGTGATTCAATTTGGTTTTATTATGTTCTCTCTATAATTGATATTAGTATTAATATTAATATGCGTATCAATTTGATACGCAATATATATTTTATTAGTCACATTGAAAACCGAGTATGTAAATATAACAAATTAATTTAAGTTATAAAGATACCGATAAACACTATGTTGTTTGCCAGACTGACCAAGACTGAATATGAAGAATTGTAGATGACGTAATAATTCCTTATATGCATTCTCGTGCTTTTCCGTATAGTTTCGTATAATTTCGTGCAGTTGTATATTGTATTAGTATGAAATGATGAGATGAATGTATTTCTTCTTTATGTATTTATAATATAATACAATATTGATCAGAATAATCAATAATTAATTTTGATAGATTTGAATAATCTTTTTTAAGCGTTGTATATCTACTTGTTATATTCTACACTAATTATACTAATTATAAATCCACACATCAAGAAACATTCCAGCAATATTGCAACAAAGTTTAACATATTGTTGCAATTGGAATGTCCCATGCTTTCTGAGTCAATGTAAATAAATTCAAAAGTTACTTTTTTTTTAAATATCGGTATGATCATCAATCCTATTAGTTTGAAATATAAGTACAGCAGAAATATAACTACAGTAAGAATAATCAATATCGCATAAAAGAATGATAATAAAATTTGATTTAATTTTACGTGTTTTTTTGAATACATATACAAATATAAGAAGTAAACATGAAATATGCATAAGAATCGAACAAATGAAGGACAGAATAGATATATAGCATTTGGTAAAACAGAAAATTAATATTATAACCGGTATTTTAGATATATATATATATACACATACATGTATATATATGTAATATATGTATATATTTTTATTTTAAGATTATTTGGCATGCAGATTGTATCTTTTTTAAAAATAATATTTGTGCACAAGAACAGTTCTGAGAATCTAATGAGGAAAGTATTCAACAGAAACATAATCTTTTTTCGTCGTATATACATTTTCCTTATGCATATATACATTCAAATATTGCATCCTGAAAAATATTCTTGAAAAATATTCATAATTTACACAACGTTGAATTATTAAGATTAAAGAAAACGACAAACGGTAAGAATGATTGTTCTTTATTACAATAAATTTTTATGATATATAATGATATAATAAAGATCTATAAATTCTATGTCCACAACCGAATGGCAAATGCAACTCCTCGAAAATTACATAACGTTCGATTACACTGTACACTTTCTAATTTTAACATGCTCAGTCGCAATTCAATTTACATAAGATTAAACCAAATGTATGAGAGTGAGGAAAATGGAAAGACATTTTCTTGATCCGCGCAAGAAAAATCACGGGTCTTTCCTCGTGCGGCGAGTAATGCGTCGCGATGAATGATATATTACAAAAAGAATCTTACAATAATAATAATTAGTAACACTTAACACAATGTACACGATACGTATTGGCTACATTATTACGTGTAAAGATACTGCACGGGATGCAGCGAGATTGAAAATCTGTACTTATATAATACTTCGTTTCTTGCTAGCATTGTTTTGCAAATACAATACCTCCGACTTCATTTTAATCATCATAGAATACGATTACGATAAGGAAAATATGCAAATACTTCGTGGTAGTGAATGATCAATAACGTGTTTTCAATGTTACATACACGGAAAAACGAATATATTTTATATTTAATTACATTTATTCTTTGTTCTTTACTGAAAAATAACATTGATTGCCCACATACAAAAAATACTGATACCACAGATAATATCAATGTTATTGAACGATTTGAAAATGGAGAAGTAGATACTTTGAATCCGACATATACATATATTTTCTTCCTTTTATTTTTTTGAATTATTTGATTTGATTGCTTTATAAAACAATATTATGATATTATGAGAAAAGTATCATAATTAGAGAAACGAAGTTACCAATGTTCTATACAACATTGAAGCTTACAACAATATTGCTGCAATGTCGCAGTGTTACTGCAATGTTATTAGAATATTGCAATGTTGTTGGAATAATCTATGCTGTATGGAATGTTATTAACTGAAAAATTATATAATTACAATAATATAATATTATTTTTCCAAGTCATAAAATGATGGTTGTATTGATTATAAGATGTTAATAATATTTCCATAAAAATCATCAATCTCGTGCACGTTCCTGCTTATCTATAGCAAATGCAAGGCTCGTAGAACAGAGTTCCCGCAAATTTATTAAATAAAAATTCGTATTACATTATAAAATTTGCTCTGTCATATTTTTTCTTTTTTTCTGTACAACATGGCACGTCCTATCATACTGTTACTTGGTGCGGTTACATTACGGATCGCCGTATCCTGGTGACATATAATTACTGATTTCGTTCGACTGCTCTCAATTTTTTACGCTTGTAGAGATTTCCGTTTACTTACTAGCTAAACTATGTACAAATCGTATTTTTCACGTATAAAAATTGAAAATAATTGACAATTCCCATCCCAAAGCCAATTTTTACTGATTCACTACAAAGATGATGGCATGAGAGGAAAAGAAAAACACTTTGAGTCTCTTTGTTCCTCTATTTTTAAGTAGAGTCGCGTTTCTCTGCGATGGTTTGAATCCCAACGCAAGGCAAATTCATCTTCGGCAGTAAAATAGGACAATGTAGCTTCGCTGTCGTCATTTATTGCAGAGAAAGGGAAAGTGCTAATCATTGCGATTTTCAAGTCATCGGAAGAAAATAAAATAATTCATATCACAGTTAGCGGTTTACCGCACAAATATTTGGACCCGATTGCCCTAACGTCTAACAGTTTGAGCGACAAATAACTGATTTCTTCTTTGTCTACTTCCGCATTATGATATATAAAGCAGATTAAAACAAAGACTATTATTAATCAGATTTATATCATGGAACGTTGTTGCAAGCTGGCTTTTGTAGCGGGACCGCTTAATTTTTATCTTTCTAAGCGGAACACTTTACAAATATTAAAACATCTTGAAAAACATAAATTAACTTCTAACAAAAGTTTATATCAAACATACATAAAATTTAAAAAACATTGCCATTTTGAATATATATAAATCGTTATATTCTACATATGAAATATTAAATCTTTGTTAATATTAAAATGACATTTTTAGTTAACAGTACATTTGAATTTGTTTGTTACAAAAGGACATAAGAAGTTCATTATTTAATTACATAAAATGTCATTAACTAGTTTGTTCTGTATTTGAGAAAAGAAATCGAATAAAAAATATTAAAATAGCACGTATGTAATGTAAAATGTATTGAGCGATTTCCTGTGATACATTTCAAGTATTCCGCTCAAAAATGCCTAAAACCGTTTTTGCCATTAAAGTTTCAACAACGACCATGAATCTCTTCAAAGTTCGCAAGTGATCGCTGTGGACAACTTTAATTTTTGTTTATACTTTGCGATATAATCTTTCAATTGTAAAATTTGATCTGTATTTTTAAGAGTTTATTGAAAAATATCGTCATTGTGAATATTACCCATAGCGCAGAAGCTTGCAACATTGCTGTAATGCGATGTTACCGTATGGAATGATCTGTGCTGAATGGGTAGCTTTTAGAGGGTGCATAGATATCTTTATAAAAGTGAGTAATGAGAAAAGTGAGACGTGTTTAAGTTTATACAGTCTATGAAGATCTACGTAATTTTAAAGAATTTGGACCGTAATAATACACAGAATCATTATTACAAAGACAAATGTAGAACAGATTTAATCAAAGAAATAAAATTATTTATATGTGTCGTTTTCTACATTTTCAACCATTTTATATGTATAAGGACTATATATTTTGTTTGCAATGGCAAGGACAAAATGCCTTAATACGGATCTGAAGAAAAACTGTTAAGCAAAGACAATATTGACGCTGTCGTTGCGAATTAAGTCCTAGAATGCTTCTTACATCCTCAAAAGCTAGTACGAAAAGTAATTTATTTACAAGCCACAAATGGCACATTAAGAATATCTTTGCACTACTTGTTCGCGAATATCATCATCGCACGATTTATATTTTCATTACATCATTATAGTCTCTTTCGTTTTATTTATATTTCGTAATACGTACGAGTCTCTAGCTTACGTCTAATCACAATCGAGCGCGGCACTTGAGCGAAGTGTCCTTTATAAGTACAATGTGTCCTGTACTCGGAAATTGAGTAACTGTAACGCTGTCAGACGAGGCTTTAATAATAAAGCATTTTAATGCAAAAGCAATGTTTCTTTTCCTTTCAAGATTCAGCTTTTGTCCCAGGAAAGGTTTCATCAATATGATTTCCTGATACTATCAGACTCTTGAATTATTTTCGTATCCTCGATAGCATCACTAAAATCACACCGTCGTTTCGTTCTTTCTAAAAGGTTTCAGCGGTTGCAATTCCCGTTCCAATCGATCAAAATCATTGTAATATTCGTGATCCGATTCTTCTTCGGAACTTCGTTGCCTAATTTGAGACCCGAAGGCACCATTTGGCAGGACTTTGTCCAAGTCCGGTGTAGGAATACCCAAAGTCTGTGGCGTGAGCGGACCTTCGTCCTGTGACATTATATATTCCGGATTGTCTAGTGACGTCTTCCCCTGAATCGCTAGAAAGTCTGGATATTTTCGGAAGCCATTGTTCAATCGCTTTGTTTCGGATTCTGGATAAAATAAAAATAATTTCGGTTTTATAAAAAAACAGATATACATAGACACATATATATAAATTAGCAATTATGGTATATGTAAAATTATGTAGACATAAAAATACAAATTAATATATTGAACTCTCAAAAGCAAAGTTTAATGTATCTATTTTTAATATGGATAAAATTGCTACGCATATCTATTACACAATATAGATAAAGTTACTAAAAATAATAGCAAATTTATAGTTTCTACTCACCTGTTGGCTTAGAATCCCCAATGAGATCTATATATTGCGTCGCGTTGACTGACGGTTGTGGCGTCGGCACGAGATAATCATTTTCATCTATTGGCAAATCTAGTTTCAAGTTTCCAACTTGAGCTTGCTGTTGCACGACGTTCGTATTGAAACAATCATCCGTCACATCGCAATCTGTAATTTTCCATTGCTTCATTAAATAAATAATTTATTCCGTGATGTTCATATTATTCGATTCAATATCATTGTCACAACCAGGAAGATTTCATTCGATTTTTTTCACAATTAACATTTTGCTTACCTCTAACACCGACCATCTTCAATGGATCCGAACAATATCTCGAACTTGAGCTATCTGACCCTGCGACGTGTCCACAGTGACCATTGGGATGTGCGTAATGCGCGCGTTGACCAGAATTGCCGGCCTCGTGCGACGCGTTTCCACTCTCATGATTTCCATACCTCAAAAGTTCTCTGTCCCAGTTTTGTTGATTTTGTGGCGTCGGAGAATCAGCGGCGAGCGGCTTACCGTTCGGCCAGCACGATTTTACCGGTGTAATTGGCGGCGAACCCGAAGTACTTGATGCGGAAATTGTGGGTGGAAGTGGAGCCCGCGATTTAGGCTGTAGGTACTCACCAGCATCTAACAGAGTTTCAGGACCATCCATCGCTGATGCAAGATTTCGAATCATCTCCTTTTCGTCCTACAAATTGACATTAATAGTTGAAACGATGTTAAACTATATTATTAAAACTGTTACATAATTACTATAAAAAAGTATGTTAATAAAAAGATTATATTATAAAGATATGTTAGGAATGTGCTAATTTTATTATGTTAATAATTAGAAATTGATTAGATTATTACTGAGATCGTTATCTAATATATCTTAGTTTGAAACAATGTAATCAATAGGCTCTAAAGAAAAATTCTAAAATACTAAAACAAATGCCAATTATATCATAGTTTTTTCATATATTTTATTTGTTAATGGTTTATAATTGTTTGAGCTTTTACCACTTAATTTGGTTAATATATATATATATTTTTTTTTGTATTGAAGAGGACCTTGACCATAACGGAATGTTTGGCTCAATTGGTTTTAGTATTTTAGAATCTTAGTTTGAGTTGTATAAAAATGTACGAAAATTGATATAAATAGTTTGAAGCATTATTGATAATTTTGATGCAGTTATAACGCTAATGAAATGGATTATATAACTTTAATTAACTGATACCAATATAATTATAGTAATAAAAAATATGTTTTACATATGAATAAATATTAATTACCTGTAGTGTATACGAAGGCAGTCTCATGTACTTATCTCCTTTAATGGCAAGATATCGACCAGGATCTCTGGACATTTTTGCAAAATCCTCTGCCAGTTCTTTGAAGCTAGGCCTGGATTCAGCGTCAAGCATCCAACACTTAATCATAATCATATATACATCAATCGTGCAAATCGCGGGCTGTGGTAATCTTTCGCCCTTTTCCAATAATTCCGGCACATTTCGAGCAGAAACATTTTCGTACGGTCTACCACCATAGGTGAGGACCTCCCAAATGGTCACCCCAAAGGCCCACACATCCGATTTATGATTAAATACTCTATGCTGAATGCATTCCAATGCCAACCACTTGATAGGCATCTTTCCACCTGCAGCCTTATATTGTTCCTCGTTAATATCCAATAATTTAGCAAGACCAAAATCAGTGATTTTCACGCAATTTGGAGTTTGGACGAGGACATTTCGCGCTGCCAAATCTCGGTGAACCAATCTTCTCTCTTCTAGATAGGCCATACCTCTCGCAATTTGCGTGCACCAATTTAACAATGGTTTCGAACCGATTTTATCCTTGTACCTGCGTACAAAATCCAGTAGACAGCCTAGAGGCATCAGCTGAGTCACTAACATCATCTGCGACGTCATGCATACTGCAAGTAATTGCAGTAAATTCGGATGTTCGACACTAGCCATAATGTAAGCCTCGTCGAGAAATTCTTTGGATGTGTTCGCACCCGTACCATCGTGAAGAACCTTTATAGCAACTGGGATCTTTACGTTCTCTCCTTCAGGTACCCAGACGCCTTTGTACACATTGCCGAAAGCTCCGTAACCCAATATACCGCCCTTTCTCATCTCTTCTTCCTTGATGATTCGTAGTTTAGCGAGATTTGGTTTCACACCTGTCGGTCGAAGCGGTTCATTGTCGTCCAAACCAGTTAAAGCCATCGTCATCTTCACTGTATTTTCCTTAGCTTTCGTTCTTATTCGCCATAAATACAGTAAAACAATGATGATAATAATAAACACTACTAATACGATCCCAATGCCACCCCAAACTGCTGGATGAAAATCGTTTTCCATTTGATAACCGAGGCCTATAGTTTCTACGGAGCAGTACGGTTCGCTGTCAGGAGGAAAGATCTTGTGAGGATATTCTGGTGGACAGGTCTCCGTGCAATTAAAGGATGTTGTATTATCATCAGAGTCGTCTATCCTATCCTGAATATATAAATTATAAAATTAATTAGTATACAAAGCATGTTATTATAAGCAATACTTATTAATTATTATACGTATATATTATGTGTACGTATATGATTATGTATTTTACGCATTTTTTTTAATAAAGAAGATTTTATTTGTAATATAATATTATCGTCTACGTACAATGTAAATTTTATAATTCCGGTATTTGTAACACTGATTAGAGCCTGGTCCAAAGCATCCTCGGCATTCTCCGAAACACGATATACATTGCTGCGTGTCAGCATCCGCGAAATGATCAGCAGGGCATTCATCTTCGCATTGCTCTCCTTTCTTATACTTGGTGCATTGTTGACACACTTGCTCGTGGAAGCCGTATCCTGTGCATTTTTTGCAACGTGGATGACACTTGCGACAGACAGCTTTTCCGGCAAGAGGTTTTAAAAGACCTTGCTCCAACTGATCAACCCACTCGTAATAATGTCCTGCAAATTTCATAATAAAAATGTTTTTTATGCATGACATAAATATTTCTTATAACACACTACGAAAAACTATGTAAATATTACCTTGTTGTTACAAAAATATACTCTAATGAATTATTTTCAATTACACTCTGTGACATTTAATTCACTATTATTTTTGAACAATTATAGACCAAATGAAATAATAACGTTTTCAATACATATATTTATACTTACAATTAGTATATAAATACAATGATAATAACCACAAAATGTATAACTGGGCGTTAGGAGTCAGTGCTGGATATTATATTGCGCAAAGCTGACTAATACCTGTATTCATAAGTAAAAAATTTAATTTTGTACGTTTCGGCTTACTATTTGAACCATCCTCAATAATAAAAAATTACCGCTTATCGCACTATAAAATCTGTCGAACTGTGTCTCGCACAATCGTAGTTCCGATCTCCAAAAATATAATCGCAGTGGAAATGTGGTGAGAGACAACCATCTTCAACATAGTCTAATGTTGTACCAATCAGTTACTTCGCTGAGTGGAATAGATAGTGGAACTCAAGCTAATAATAGCAACGAGATATTTTTGAAACAAATGGATCTTAATTTGCTTAATTAATGTATGTTAGCCAGAAACTCACCCCATCTCCAACAACGATGGCAAGCGGATCCAAGCATCGTCAATCCATTACAACATATTTAAAAATCATGATGTCGATGTTAGATTGAAAAATAATTTAAGTAACATAAAAGAAAGTCATGTCCGTTCTGATGTTAGTCATATGTTACTCGTTAAATACAAACACAAAGAGAGATGTGTCGCGCGAACAAAACATATCGGTCAATGATAAAAATAAACATATTATAACTTATTGAGAATTTCTATGTATCCATGATTTAAAACCTCAGTGTCAGTTTGCATGTTAAGACTATTGGATTGACGATTGCCACTGCGATTACATTTTTGGAGATCGGAACTACGATTGTGCGAGACGCAGTTCGACAGATTTTATAGTGCGATAAGCGGTAATTTTTTATTGTTGAGGATGGCTCAAATAGTAAGCCGAAACGTACAATATTGAATTTTTTACTTATGCATGAATAGGTATTAGTTAGCTTTGCGCAATATAATATCCAGCGCTGACTCCTAACGCCCAGTTACACATTTTGTTATTATTATCATTGCATTAATTTAAGGAGTCTATAAATTTGTTTGTATATTTACTTGAAATAGTATATAAATATTTTCAACTTTTTTCTTGTTACAAAATATTCATATGTTAATACAAAAATTATGAAACAAAGTTATCGTATAACTTACCATCGGGACACGGTTCTCTCTTCTGCAAACATCTCTCTGGTACTTCGTCATTCATAATTGCCTTTTCGCAACTATGACATCCGTTGGCGCCTATGTTGTTCTCCGGTCCCTTGCAACCGCCTACGCAATTCTCGTGACACTGTTTACATTGGCCGTTGTCATTGTACTTCGAGGATGGGCACTCTGGCACACAGAATGGTCCATCTCGCACGTGTTTGCACTTAATGCATTGGTCGGCATTAGGACCGGTACAGGAGCTATAAGATGTGTCGCATTCTTCGTGACACATCTTACAAGTTTTATTGTCCGCTTGATAAATCCTGATAACACAATTGTAATCAATTATTAATCGACATTGAAATGTCACGTAAGGAAATAGATAATATGTAAAATTAAAAGCAAACAGACAAGTTCAGAATAACGGAAAAAGAATATATAGCATGAAAAATTAACAAAAAAAATAACACTCATGCCATTCGCGCTTTTAATACAAGTGCGAATTAAAGCGGTTATGATGAGAATGCACGTGCTGCATAATACACACGTAACTTGCTTACGAGATGGATAATGATGAAAAAAAAACGGCGAAAATTGGGGCTTAAGTTCTCGCGGAAGATTTTCGATTTACCTTTAATCCATGATCTAGGGGAGCAGTTTCGATTGGACAGAAGTCGTATTATTGAAATTTTCAACTTCGTATTATAAAATTCTATGTTTGTTGACTTACCCTGGCGCATTGCAATCTTCAAGACAGTCGTTCCCTAAAATAACGTTCTTACACGACAAACATTGTGATGGTCCCGGTCCCCAACATCCTTCATCTGAACATTGCTCGTCACATATGAGGCCATCCTCAACTGCAATTCAAATATTCAAAGTAAGTAAGATTTTAAAATAATAATTCACAAGTTAGAAAGGAAGCTTACAAGAGTCGATGCAGTTATTGGTGCGTGAATTATTATGTATAATGTATACATTGGAACAACCGTTTAACTTAGATTTGAGAAAAAATTACTATAACCAGAGAGAGAGAGAGAGAGAGAGAGAGAGAGGATCAATAAATAAATAAATAAAAGTTCACAATAAATTCTTTGCGATGTTCTAAAGATGCTCAATAGCATCAATATTATTGATATAGATTATCGGTTTAATTTGTGATATTATTATTCCAACTTTAGTTTAGGATTACGTTTCAAGACCGATATATCAATAGGTATAATTTGCAGAACAATTGAGAAATAGGTATAAAAAAAGTCATGCTAAAATATTATTAGACATTAAAACCCACTTTTGACCGTATAAAATACTTTTTCATTTAAGTATTTGTGTTACTCTTATATTAATCTAGTTTCATTATTGTTGAATAAATGCTGCCAAAATAACGTAATAATATTATTAATAATATTTTTAATTTATATTCTTCAAAAAATAAAAATAAGAGCTCACAAAATAAAATTTATTATAATGAATATGCCATCACAAACACAAAATTTAATACATTTAGAATACCTGTCTATAATAAAGAATTGGATTTTAAATTAAGAGAAACTAGACTTGTATATTTATCTCTTTATTATACTTACTGCATTCGGTCTCGTTTCGATTATTTGATAAGAGACTTTCATGTTCGGATGATTTCTTAATTCTGTTCCAATTGATACTTTCTGCGTAACATAGATTTTTGTTCTCCAGAATAGCGATCGAGCCGGAATAAATCTTCTTCAAGGAACTAAGACCGAAGGATATCAAAGAAGTCTTGACGATGTATAACGATGCGAAATATTCCGTGAGCGTTCTACCTCCAATCACCTCGAGGTTCCGAAAATACGAAAGGTTCTTGAAATCTTTATGATCTCCTTGAATATTAAGGTAACCCGTAATCTCTTTCAATGTTTTAAAGACTTCTAATTCATCAGGATGCATCTTGTCGAATCGTTTGCCGAATGAGTAGTTTGGAAAAACATGTTGGAAACCTTCGAAACTCTGATCCAGAATCGTGATGGATCCTTCGATGATGGTACAATCCTTGAAGGTGTCGATATTACCAGAATGCACTTTCTCCACACCTTTGCAGGTTTTTGGACAAGGACCGTCACAGGGAACACATTCGCCATTCACTGCTTTCTTCTTCGGTGGACAGGATCTCACGCATGCACCGTTGTCCTTTAAAAGATGTTCCGGACATCGTCTTACACAAGTCGCCCCGTACGCGTACTTTCCGCCCGGATTGGTTTCCCATGAATATGTTGTTGGATTATATCTAAAAAATTTAAAATAAAAATATTAATTTTCTTATTAATTTTATCATATAAATAATTTGTGCTATAAGCAAACTTTATCTTAGTTTTTTTTATATCAATTTATCATTTAGAAAATTTAAAAGAATATTATTCGTTCAATAAATTATGTTAAAAAAAATTAAAATATTTCTACGTATTATAACAATTTTCACGGCATTTTATATCAGTCTCGTATTAAAGATATATAAATATATAATGTGACTTACTTTTGCATAGGCGGACATTCCTGCGTGCACACGCCATCGTCGAAGAAGTTCTTACAGGCAAGGCAGTCGCTCTGTTTGGGACCGGTACAACCACCCGCGCAAAAAAGATGGCAACATTCGCGTGGATTAGGACCGAAGCACCTGCCCTGCCAGCACTGAGGCGAACAGTTCGTTTTCGAGAACTTCTGACAATTCTCCGAACCTTCGCCCCAGCAGCCTTGCTCACAACTTTCGTCACATGCTGCACATCCGCGTTCCGGTGTTGTAAAATTATACACATAAAAATATCGTCCTCCTTGGCCTGTGATTATTTCCTCCCAATTGATAGTCTTGATGTGGCAGAGATTGTAGTTGTTGTACATGCCCACGCTCCCATTGAGTATATCTATGACGAAATTAATCGCGGAAAGTTAGATATTATCACAATAGAACAATAGTTTGTCTTAAATTTTTCACATTTAATTGTTCAATCGACAGTATTATTTTTAAGTGATAATTTATTAAGTAAGAAATATCACATTTTTGGATATTTATAAACTTGAAATTTATATTTAATTGTTAAAATGTTTTTGTTTATTTGTACGTAAGGTAATAAATTATAAATAAGTTATAAATTATACATGTAAATTAAGTATAAATTATTAGTTTTACTTATAACTGACAATAAATAAATATTTAGATATTTTTTAGAAATGCATCGTTTATTGCTCGAACTTCAATCCAGTCATGTCAACTTGAATAACGTCTAAGATATAATAGATATTAATAAAATATAAAGTATAAATAACGTACCTCTAAGGGATGGCATCTCCAGGTTGTGCATCTGACACATCGTAACGAAGAGGGCGAATTCGTGGTCGTGTATATTGAGTTTGAAAAGGGTCCTGCCACGGATGATCTGTAGGCTCGGGAGGACGAACCTGCGCACGTCCACGTGACTGATGAGCACGTAACCGGTGACCTCCCGTATGTGCTGGAGGAAGCTGAGGTCGAAGGTATTGTTCTGGAGCCATGTGATCTCCAGGTTGCCATCGACGTAAGTACAGTTGGTGTACCGGTCTCGAAGATTCCGGTAGTGATGCAGTTTGTTGGACGGCACGGAGAGACGGCCATTTGTACCGATGCAAACTACAAGCAAAGTAATTACATATATAAGTTACACGTGCAAATCCATGTAAACATTAAGTTGTACATACAACAAAATATAAAAAGATTATTATTACATCAATTATTGCTCTCTTTATTATTTTTCTATTAATTTATTAAAATTATAAAAATTCTAGAAAAAAATACTCATAGTAATAATAATAGTAATATAATTATATTTTAATTACATTTAATATGATGACATAAAAAATAAATATATATATTTATTAAATATTATTATTCTTTAGTTTAATATCTACTTTTAATTGTTACCATAATTTATCATTACATACATAAGTATTGTTCAAATATTCCATGTCCAAATTGATATTGAAGCTATGGCTGTATTCAACGAGTGGCGCTATCAATGTTATTACATCATTCTATCCTTGTTTTATGTCTAACGAACGATAAAGATACAATGACACATAACGCTAATAGCGCAGTCCTTAAACGCAGGCTATAAATAATGACCTAACGGTATTTGTTCATCAATATGTATTATAAATTGCATGCAACAATATCTTCTAAGTGTATATATAGTTTAACACAGTAAGTTTATTGAGCAATTCGAATAACGGTTCAGATTGAAACCAAATATTGAGATTAGATGCGGATTTTCTGTATATAGAAATCACATGTAATTAATTTCCGATTATGATAGTTGTGTAGATACCACCCACAGTCAAGAGTATATTCCCGCGATCTATAGATAGTGTTTTATCCATAAACCGTGTTATATTGGTGGGCGAACTACCTTTATGAAATGCAGTACACGCGCCGTCGTGATTTCGTTGTGCAATTACGTTCTTGAGTTGACTGTGAGTTGAGTGTTTAAATGACGCATACAAAGGCACTGTATGTATACTTCGTGTATAAATTATAGTAAACATTTGTGATTTACAAAACAAAGCAAGGAATTTTCGTAAGCCACAAAGTAGCTTATATTTTTGGTAAAAATGGTTGTTTAATCGTAGATCCACAAGAATTAATATTAACATTAAAAGATATCCGCATAAATTTTGCATAAATTACTTTTATATACAAAATAAAATAAATTTCCTTCTTTTGATCCTTCTTTTGAAAACGCTAAGTTTTTATTTGGCCAGACTTTGTTAGAGGGGGAAATAAGTAACGTTTGTCATTGCAGAATATGATTTGCCTCATGCTTTCATATACGCTAATAAAAATAATAAATTTAAGACAGATATTGTTTTTATATAAATTTTGTATAATATAAATCAAACGCTAAAATTTAATAAAATAATAAAATATAATTTTTATGTCTGTAAATCTACATTTAATTAAAACATAGTTTTTTTTATTGAGCAATTAAGATTATACATTAACATATATATATAAAACATACTTATTACAAGAGTACTTACTTTTTTTATCATTTATTTTATTTCTCTACATGTATTATTTAAATTATATCCATAATAAAAAATCAAGACGCTTTACAGAAATATTTTCTTATTAAATATTATTCTTCCTACAATAATTTTCAATAATTATGACATAATCATAAATATCGCAAAGAATGTAATATAGAAATTAACCGAACAAGTAAATTCTCCTTGGCACATAAAAACGTTCATATAGAAAAGAGCTCAAGGTTTTATTAGATAGCTTCGCGCAAATTCCTTGCGAAGCAAAGGAATCGTCACTGTGGAGAGCATAGTGACACGTTCGCTCCCCCGGAATTTGGTTTTGCTCGCAACTTGAATCGCACTCGCATCCTCGTGGACAGTTCGCAAACGAGTGGCCGCGATCGGCACGCGGTATCGAAAGGGCGGTCTTAATCTGACCAGCGATCAGAATCATGCGAAAATAATTGCACGGTAAGGACGTCCTTCTTGCGCGAGATACCCGAGGGGATGTACCGCAGAAGAAGATTCATAGTCGTTGCCGACAATGTCGGAGATCGTGGACCAAAGGAAAGAACCGGCGGAATAAACGCGAATCCGAGTACCTATGTATTTGTATCGACCAGATGCTACTGAGAGTCGCGGGATACCGAATGCACGTACTGTGGCATGGCGCCAGGATCCTCGAGAATGCAGACCGAATGTGGATCTGCATTGGCGATGGGATCACGCAGGTTTTCTGCCCTACGTGTCCCACAAACTCGAGTCGCATGGAAGATGAATGACTCGATCATAATGAAGAGGTATGGCAAATATATATATATATATATTTATTTATTTGTCGAAATATTTGTCCTACGATTTTTTTCGTCGAAGGAGGTTTACCATTGTAAAGATTTATCATATAACATAAAGAGGTTTATGTTAACAAATAAAATGTTTTTTTCATAGTTCATATTATAGAATCGTAATGGATACTTTAAAGCGTACTAATGATGAGAGCTATCGGATTTTCTGTGAATATATGTTGAAATATCTGATTAATAATTCTTTGAATAAGGAAAAAATATTCCTGTATAAAGTAAAAAGGTTTATAAATTGATAAATAGAAAGGATTTTTGCTTTGATACATTTTTCATAGAAAATGCTGTTATGTTTCAAATTCATATACTTACTATTAATTAATATTAATTAACAAAGACAGATGCTTATGTTCGCATTCTTGATGTTATTATATGAAATAAAAATATGTAAGAAAAAATACATAAAGAGCGACTTGTGTTCACTCGACTTGGAAGTGGTTCCTTTTCGAGCAACGATATGATTCTCTCTATATATTCCTTGTATATCGTCGATCATTTATTATTTCATAACAGAGCGAAGTTTTTCGTTCTTCTTGTAGGTTTGCAAAGTTTAACATTTCAATTACGTTTAGATTATGATTAAAACTTTACAAATAATAAATCATAAATAAGTGAATTGAAATAAGTCTAAGTTTGTATCTCATATAACATTATTGTTTGTACGTAATTGTCATTGTTAAAAAAGAACAATATATTGCGTGACTGACATTTTTAGAACTAATTGTAGTTGACAGATGTTATCCGGGATAACGAATTATGACCTAGACTGAAATATAAAGCGAACCGACACGTCGAGAAGAACTTATGGATGCTCTGGCGTGCTTGGTGGAAGGTGGTCCGATAAAAAGGAACACCACAAGTGTGATGGCTGCACGAACGTTTAGACAGGAAGAAAGTGGAAGTTCGCTGAGAAGTGTCGGTTAAGGTCGGCGGGCCGACACGTTCCTCGTTCTTGTTTTCCAAGCTCCGAGGCTTGCTCACCCGCGCAGCACGAAATTCATCATTAGATCCTTGGGCTGGGATATATCTCGGCAGAAACGTGGTGATTATCCCCGACGGCGGGGCTGCGAAAATTGCCGGCGAGAGCCGTTTGTTCTCGCGCGTAGAATTAACATTCTGCCAAATTTACGACGCCTGCACCGCAGTTCAAGACAATGGCGGTGATATTGATTACGGGCGTGGCACGAACATCACCTTCTCCATTATCTAACAAAGTTCGTAGGAAACTCAACCTCTAGAACTGCAAGTGGTTATTGTAGTTTGGTATTAGAAGTAATATATAATCGTAGTTAAGATATTAATTTTATTCGCTGAGTGGATATCTCTCAATCGTTTAGGAAAAAAATTTAGCCACAAATGGCTATTTATAAAGAATTAAGAAAAATATAAAAGAAAAAGAGATATGGTAGACTCTTAATTTAATTTATACTTTAAAAGAATTCCAGTATAAATTAACAAGTTCTGTTACGTGTTATAAAGAAGATGTTTATGCCTAACAGTTACACAAAGAGAATGACATCAAAAGAAAAATTTAAACTCTCAAATGTAGGTTTAAATATGAATGATAAATTTAATAAAAATCATGAAATATGAGTGGTAAGGAAGAAGTATAGGATGTAAAGAAACAAGTGCTGGTAGAGGACGTGACACCGAAATCCCGTGGTGAGGCTTCTTTTGTGAACGCGAAAATAGTACGTACGTTGCACTGAGCCATACATGGTTCTTCGACCACCTTTTGGAAGGCGAGCATCGAGAGATTTTTATGCGGCACTTTAAAATGCCCCCTTCTCTCCATTAAAGTCCCAAAGTAATATGAAATAACCGCATGTCGATGGCGACGGCGGTAGCGGCGCCGTTTATTTGAGCTCGTAAACATCGATACTGTCTCACAATCCCCACCATCAAAATCGTTTCTGGGTGTTAAGGTCCCTCTTTCCCCCTTCTTTCTTTCTGCTCCCTCTGTAAAACGGAGCCCTGCGGCTAAATGCTCGACGAAATAAAATCCGGGTATCGTAAACGTGCGAAATAACTATTGGTTCGAACTGCTTGAAAAAGAGAAAAAGAGAATTCAAGGTGAGAAAGGATTTCGGAGTAGGGATAAAAAGAGAAAAGTTGTGAGTGAGAGAGAGAGAGAGAGAGAGAGAGAGAGAGAGAGCAATTTATTATTTTGAAGGAAATCTATGGGTAAAATACCAAAGTAAAAATAAATATGTAAATAATTGTATAAAACATGATAAAACTGAAGTAATGAATAGTCTAACTTAATGAATAATAAAGGTTAAAGAAAAATTAAAAATACAAGAAGTATAAAGATATAATAAACTTTCGCTTTTTCAAAAAATTTAATAAGTAGGGAAAAAGAAATAAAATTTCTTAGTGGATTTTACTGTAGGAAGCAGACCAGATATGAAAAAAAAAATGGAAGATTGAAAAATTTGAAAGAAGAAACAATTTAAGATCAGATACTGTTGAGCGGAAGAGTAATGGACTCTCTCTATTTCATGAATCAAAAGATGAACTTCATACTACTATAAAAAATATTATTTCTCAATAAAAGTCAATGTCAATAGAACTCGTTATCTTTTTCGCATAAACATAATGTAAAATAATTTGCTATTAAAATGGAAAACTACGTTGAAATAAAGTAATCTCCATGTATTTGTAGCCTCTCGGTTTCTGTGTTCAAGTGGAATTGTACTATAAGTCCTAAGATGAGAAATCATGTAGATATTGACAGATTATATATATGTTATCTTCCATATTTTAAATATTATTTTCTATATTTTAAATATAATAGTATACATGTATATCATATTTTAAATATTAAACATTTCTAAAGAGTAATTCCAATTTAATCTTGTTCAAACTAGTCTTCTAATGCCCGTTTCTACCAAAAGTTTAATTTTAATCTTGGTTCAATTTGCTCTTTATCCCTTTCTAGTCCTCAAAATTAGAAAAAGATGAAGAACAAATTCAACCAAGATCAAAATTAATCTACATTGGTAGAAACGGGCATAAAACGCTTAATTCAGAATCATCCAATGAATTTAATTCGTGGCTCAAGCGGCAGCCAATTCTGAAGCGTCTTATCATTGTGACATTGAAAGTATTCTAATTCAAGATTAGTGTTGGATAATACTAGACTTTCGTCGAGATTTAAAACGAATTGCTTTGTCATCACGATCGTTTGCCTACAATCCTAGCCGGTCTTGTATGTATATAGATCCTCGTCGCGGGATCGGAGAATGAAGGACGAGAAGGATACATCCGAGCCGGGGTTGTATAAGTCTCGCGTATACGTTATAACCGTGGCGTAACCATCCCAGGGCGTAACATTAATAGCTTTATGGTTTATTGCTTTCGAGTCTGCGGTTAAGTTCCTCCGCTCCCTGTGGCGCGGCTGACCTGAAGGCTACGATGCGGTACTTCTGCGCGCGTTCATGTACCATCATTTTTCGATTTCGTTATGTCGACACGGTGGCGTTTTATTCACATAGCCCCGTTCCTTCTCCTGTTGTTTCGTCTTTTCGCGCCACTGGCATTTGCGACACGTTATGTTTGAATTAACTCTTTAATACATTTTTACTAACGCATATAATTAGAGAAGCGAAGATCTTCTAAATCGCAAAAAGGTATTTTAGGAAAGAAAAAAATTTGAAAAGTTATTTAACTCGAAGGAAATAATTTATGATGATCATATCGATTTTTCAGGTCACGTCACAAGGTGATGTCATTAAATCGCGGTGCGAGGCTGTTTTCAAGAAAATCATTCAGACGCTATCTTCTTTTTTTACTCTCGCGCGTTAATAAAGCGCAAAATGAGGTGAGGAAATAATGACGAATCGAAATGAAGTACCGAGGACGATACAGACAAGGAACAAATGATGGTATGTGGTATGCGCTTTGTTCGCTTCTCTCTTTCTCGACGATATATCGTACATTCGCTACATCTTGTTCTCTCCACCTCTGTCTTCTGGCGGCTCCTTCTGCTTTTCTCTTTCTCATCTCACCTCGGTAACCTCAGCAGCGAACAAGCTGGACCACGCGTTCGCAGAGAGGGCACACGAACTCATTTTTGTTTCTCAAGTGTAGAATATCGATTTTCGATCACCGTTCTCACACATAAACATTATCATTTTTTATTATGAAAAATCTTCATTACAAAAAATAACGTATTAATATTTTTTGGAGTTTTATATTTTTTTAAATCTTCTATTTATTATAGTATTTAAAAAGTAAAAAAAATGCAGTCTATTTAATTTCAATTTTTCTGTGAAATACTTGATCTAAATGTTATCTGTATATGATGAATATGATGTAAAATAATTATATAATAATTATTAAATATAAGTATTGGAAGTGTACGTGAATCGAATACTTCAGTAAATAAAATAAAATATAATAATCTATTGTAAAATAAACAAAATTTTTAAACTCAGATAAATAGGAATTTATATTTAGTATACCTTTTTTATATGTATAAATATTTAGTATATCTAGTATATCTTTTGTATATGTATAAATAAACATTTTGAAATAAAACTATCTTTCATTCATATTTTCAATGCGACGAATAGGAGACTTCTAATGGATTTTACGTGGTTACAATATACATACATATAGATATATGTCGGTATATATTCACAAATGTATTAAATCTCGCAGATGAAATAGGAGGTGACATTATATGGAGCGTCACAAAAATTGCTGGATGGAGAGTTAATGCTTTCTACAGCGTTGTCCAACTAGATTGCGTGTGATAACATTGATTCTGGATTCAATGCATGACGTTAGCGACTAAGAATTATATACTACTTAGCCAAAAGGAGTCTGTGCTGCTGTCATCTAGAGAGAAATAGATTTCCCTCATACAATTTGCGAATGCTAATACGCTGAGAAGTGAAATCTAACTTATGATGATAAACGCTCTTTCTTCGTCGAAAGATACTTTATAGTAGGTGTTTAGTGGGTTGCAGTATATAATGCGCGTCGCGTCGCATTCTTGCGATAAGCGTATTTATTACGTCGCTTGTTATTTAAATAGCATTCAATTAGCATATTATTTACTGAGCTTTTAATTTATTAAATATAACTGAAAATCTATAGATTTTTATATATGTATGTAACTCATATTTATATAACACCACCGATTTTTAATTATTTTACGTAGATAACTCAGTTACTTTTCATGTTACGTCATATGATGTGAGATATTTTGAATAATACTAGAAATAATAATACGATATAAATGTTTATTGTGAAGTGGCATTATAACTGCATTGTGCGTTCAAGTCGTACGAGTTTGAATCGCCTGCAACCCTCGTTTGTTGATGCATACAACTTGTGCAGCAGATAACAATCTTGCCCGAGTGCTTTTCATCGTTGGTTTGGTGAAGATTTTGATATACGAGGGTCTTGTACTCGCAATTACACGACGCTTTGTCTGCCTTTGGAATCACTTAACTGCAGATAAACGCGTATGCATTAAAACATTTTATATTGTGTGCGTGATACTAAACCAGCATATTTATTTATCCAAATATCATAAATCATTATACGTATAGCCATATTTTTTTCTTCAAATATTTTATAATTTAATTTTGGCATATATAGTAAAATCAAAATTAAAATGTAAAAATAGAATTACGATAATATGAAATGTACATTAATAACACATGTATACAAGTATGTGTATATATGCCTTTTTTTATATGCGTATTACTATATTTTATAATTTGTGTAAAGAAGAATATTCAATTAATTCCAATAACTAATGTTAAATTTTAAATAAGTTTAAAATTTCTCATTATTTGTGAATAAACTTTGACTAATATCATATTGTGATAATTCTAATATATAGAAATGTCTACTTAGTTGGCCCCCTCCCTCCCCACTTAATCAAATCTTAACGAATAAATTATATAATAATATGAACTATTACCGTTTT